GCTCTCTGAGAAGAAAATACAGTTAGGACAAACAAAGATTGATTTTTTTAGTATGGTGATTGTTGATGGCATGTATGATCTTCAGCCTCATACTGCTAATGAATTGCAAAAATTCTCAGATGTCCTCACAACCAAGAAAAAAATACAACAATTCTTGGAAATTGCCAATTACATGCGCTGTTTCATTCCCAACATTTCTCGTTTCACTACTCCACTTTCCCAGATGCTTAAGAAGAATCCTCCAGAATGGTCTGAAAAGCAGACAAATGCAGTCAAGAGTCTTAAGCGCTCATCCTTCCATACACAGCCGTTAAAGATTCCTTCTTCGGGGAAACGCATTCTTCAGACGGATGTTAGTGACACTCATTGGGGTGCAGTACTTTTTGAATAAGATGAGGACAAGGTACGACATTTGTGCGGATACCGACATTTGTGCTGATACCAGAGTGGACAATTCAAACCACACCAGCAGCATTATCATTCTACTTTCAAGGAAGTATTAGCAGTAAAAAATGCCATTGAAAGGTTTGAATTCCACCTTGTTGAACATCATTTCTTTGTTGAAACTGATATGAAGTCTTTTGATCAAATACTTCGTTTCCATAAGAAAAAAGTTCCACATCAGCAGTTACTTCGCTGGGCAGAATGATTCAGTAAATATTCTTTCACCGTCCAGCATATCAAAGGTCACATCAACACCATTGCAAATTATTTATCCAGACCTAAAACTAAACAAGTTGGTTTCATGAACCCTAGATCCAAACCTCTTCCATGTTTCATGTTCCAACCATTAACCCAGTCTAGTTCTTGTTCATCATCCTCTTCACCAAACCATACTCCAGACATACCTCCTGAATTCGATGACCTTGTTCAAACACGTATCATTGATGAAAATGCTACCACCCTCATGTTTTCTTACCAATTTCAATGCATTGAAAAATGTGGTCAATCCATGTATGATATGTTAGGGGTCCATCCAGATTACCCCATTTCAAAAATCTTTTGTTTACCTCCAGGACTTGATATCATATTTCTAGAAGAATTATTATGGTTCTTTTGGTATATGTTACATCAATACCACATTGCTATTCAATTCCCGATCCATCATATGTTGAAAATAATTTCCCAATACCAGTCAACCTCAACCCCTGAACTACGCTCTTTGATGACTTTTCTCCGATGGTTCAAAACCCTTGACAAATGGAAATCTGTGTTTGCTCACCAACTTGCCCGATACAAAGGTCCTATGTCTACCAAAATGGCATGGTCTATAATGTTTTTTCACAGACATCACTCTATCAGATCTGATGGCCTATATTTTTCTCAGCATCAAGTCACATTTCATCGGTCTTATCCATATGACCTCGTCCATAATATGTTTGATCATCCTGTTTAGACTAGATCAATTTAAAAAATCCTTTTTGAAAAAAATCAAATCATTCCAGATGCACTATGACCATCCTTTCACAATGATGCTCAGTGGGAACTCTTTCCTCCAAACTACACTGAGAAATTACTCCAAGCCAAACAGACATGTATATGTTCCATCAATGCTCAATTCGATGCCGATTCAGCCTATCTAGAATGGTGGTACTCGGACTGACAGCCAGATACTGTGTAGGAAGAAGAGCTTCAGCAGTCTCGTAATTACTATCTCCATAAATCCAAGCGACAACAATACATGCATGCACCCAGTATATATGCAAAGCAAACATCTAGGCCTGAAATTCATACATCCGAATTCTCCATTTATGTGGAGGAAGATCATCGATGGTAAAAGTGTGGAGCCTTGCTGAAGCCGTATAAGAGTCACGTTTAGCCGAAGTATGATGAGATTGTTGATACATAGGCGGAGAGTCTAGAATGGAATCATCACCTTCAGACATCTCATCATCGACCTCAGAAACAACAGGTGGTCTAGACGATTAAGGTTGATGGGTCATCAGTTGTGGATAAACATTAGGATGTTGATCAGAAGTATTACTGTCAGAGTCAAAGTCACTTTCAAATGATTCATCAGTCGAAGGTATATCGGCTTCTGATTCTATTTGGAAGGTAGATAGAGAATCCTGAGAAAAACCCGAAACGACAAGACGTTGTCTTTTTACCATGTCTCTAAAAAAAGAGCTCATAAAATTAGAAGAGATGGGATTTTCTGAAGAGGCAGGATTAGCAGAAGGTTGGCGGTCTTCCACTATCATTATGTGCATTGGAGCTTTATCCTTAGATAAAGGACGATGAGGCTTAGGAGATGGAGGATCTGAGTGACTGGAAGAGAAAGAGTCAGAAATATCAGCGGATGGGGTCTGCGGTCTAGCAGAATACTTTTCTCACTTATTTTGTTCTCGTTCCAGTTTGATCTTTTCATCACGTTCTTTGCGGAGCTTGGCATATAACTATTCAATGTTGCCAAAAGCTTGAACAGCACCAGAAGGTATATAAGGTGAGACCAACGGTTGGCTAATTTTTGGAAAAGGGGAAAAAGAGGGTTGTGGCCATGCTGTTGTGGAATCAAAAGGGTTTGGTACTAATGACATTTCAAGGAAAGTCTGTGGTTGTCTGAGTTTTTGCTTAAGATATTCCTGCTGAAGCGATGCCATTTGGGTTTTTAATGACTTCATTTCTGCTTCCTTTTGGAGAAACTGAGCTGAATAGCCATGAGAGTTGACAATGTGCATTAATTCNAAAGCTGCTTTTAAAAAGATAATTACGATAATATTAAAATTTATATTCTTTATTTTTTTTTGGAAATAATAGAGCTGGATCTGGCCGCCGGAGTCGTCGATGGTGACAACCCCTAACGCTGGCGAAATGTCCACCGGCGACTAAATAAGGCCTTCGGAATCATTACGTTCACCATACGATGATCTACACAATGGTGCCGGCGATGTCGTGAAATAATATGGATTTTTGCTGCAGCTGCCCCGTAAAGTTTGACGTAATTTCTGTCGGCTCTCTGTTGAAAAACACCACATTATTTATCGACACCACCGGCATAATTACGTATAGCGGCCACTGGTGAATGCAGTGATGTAGGTGGTGTTGAACCAATCGCCGACGGTGGATTCGCCGGAGAGATTTCAACTTTTTAAAATTTAAATTTTTTTATTTAATAAAATATAATGTTAATATAATTAATAATAATTTTTTTAAAAATATTTATTTTGGTCTTTTTACCCTTATTATATTTGACTTCCCAAAATCAAAAGCAATTTTACAATTTTAACAAAACAAACACTTAATAAATTATTTTTAAAATTGATCCATAACTGATTGTGGGAGAAAATTAACAATCCCAAACTAAATCCTAGTGAGGAGAGCGACTTACACATATCCAAAGTTTGCCTTAACGATAAAGTGGTACCCAAAAAGTTTTAAAACGATAAATAAGTACCTTCCGTCATGTGCCGTTAGTGATTTCCGTTTGATAATCGTGAAAATACTAGAATGCCCTTGAAAGTTTGATATTTTAGATTTTTATAAATTTAAAAATTTCTAAAAAACCTCATAAGTTTGCTAATTTAATTAAACACCCCAACATATAAAATTTTTATAAACTAACAAAAACACCGCCACCACCCGCAGTGCCAGATTCCGGCCACCACCGCCGAAATCTGGTCGGGAAATTGCATTACGACATAGATCCGTAACGGGTCGATCTGGATGGAAAAGGCCAGATCTATGTCCAGATCAAGCCGTCGAGAGTTTTGCGGCCTCGACGGCCAGATCTGGCCTTTTTCGGCCAGATCCATGACGGATATGGCCAGAAAAGACCAGATCTACGTCCAGATCTAGCCGTCAAGAGTTTTGCGACCTCGACGGCTAGATCTGGCCGTAGATCTGGCCTTTTCCCGCCAGATCCGCCATGGATCTGGCCGGAAAAAGCCAGATCGACGCGTTACGACACAGATCCGACGGGTTTGTGTCGTAACGCAATTTTTCGGCCAGATTCCGGCATTGGTGGCCGGAATCTGGCATTGTGGGTGGTGGGGGTGTTTTTGTCATTTTATAAAATTTTTATATATTGGGTGTTTAGTTAAATTAGCAAACGTAGGGGGTTTTTCAGATATTTTTAAATTTATAAAAAACTAAAATATCAAACTTTCAATGTCATTTTAGTCTTTTCACTATTATCAAACGGAAATCACTAACAGCATATGATGGAAGGTACTTATTTATCGTTTTAAAACCTTTTAAGTATCACTTTGTCGTTAAGGCAAACCTTGGGTATATATACGTTCGGCCAATCTTAGTGTCATTATTTGCAAATGAGACTTTTTGTTATTTCATAATCTATAAAAACATTTTTGTTTGGAGATTTTTAGTGAGTAGCTTGTAAGCATCTCTAATGATGTTCTTTATTTTAAAGAGCATCTTTCATATAAATAAAGAATATCTTCATTAATTTCTAAATATAAAAAACAAAATTTTTATTTAAATCCAATGGACTCTTTAAATTGAATGAAGATGTTCTTTATTTTCAAGAAAAAGACTTAATAGGAAAAAAAATTAATAAATAAAAATATATAGAAACTTGTAGTTTATTAATTAAAATTAGGATAGAGAGTGAAATTTGACTTTTTAGATATGGAGAGTCAAACTCGCTCTTTAATTTATATTTAAAGGATAAAGAGTCTATTAAACTTTTATTTTTATAAATAAACTCTTTAAAATAAAAAGTTTGAGTCATATAAAGAGTCTTTTGTAGATGTTCTAGTCCTTACCGTGGTTTGAGCTCTTATGGCGGCAGTGACGGGAGTTTGTTTTTTACTTTGATCACTGTTGAAATTAACCCGCGGCAGAGGGCGGTAATTTAGATTCTTTCTCTGCGTGGTAACCAAATTCAAAGGTGAAGAAAAAATAAAAAAAGAAAAAGAAAAAGAAAAAGAAAAAGAAAAAGAAAAAGAAAAAGAAATATGAATAAATAATAAAAAATTTCTAAATTCGACTAAATTCTACTCTTCCTAAATTCGCCTTCTATATCTCTCTCTCTCTCTCTCTCTCTCAAAATAGAAACCTCCCAAACATCAATGGATAACTAACAAAGCCTCAGCTCCACTCCCCTTAGATCTGCTCCTGCTCTGCTCTTTCTGTAATAAGGTACAACAACCCATTTAAGCATTTTCATTTTTCTTCTAAAAAAAATTACCTGATTTTGATGTGGATCTAAGTTCAATTTGATAACCTCATGTTTGAAGTTGAATTACAATTAACTTGTGTGTTTAAATCATAACTGAATTTTTTTTTGTTTTTTTTTTTTTTTTGTTTTAATGGTTTAAAGTTCAGTAGATGTTAGTTACTGATTTAAGCTCAAGTGGGTTAGTGATTTAGTATAGATCTGAGTGAATTTTGTTCATTTGGTGAAGTGGGTAATTTGGTATCATATTGATCTAAGAGATAATGTGAGCTGAAGTGGATTAGTGATTTATTGTAGATTGGAGTGATCTAATGTTGTTTAATTTGATTTATAATTGACGTTTGGTTTTGTTTTGATCTTTAGGTGTGGATCTTTGATTTGAATTAAGAGAATCATGGCTTTAGGGAAATATAGTAGGATAGATAATAGGAGATCTTCGTCGAGTTACTGGCCAACTGTGACGGTTGTTGTGTTTGTGGCTCTTTGCTTGGTTGGAGTATGGATGATGACGTCTTCGTCTATGGCACCGGTTCAGAATGTGGATGAGCCAGCACAGGAGAAGAAAAGTGAGGTGAGGGAACAGGTGGTGGAGAGCAATGAGAGTAGTACTCAGCAGTTTGAAGATAACACGGGTGATTTGTCTGAGGATGCTACAAAAGGAGATAGTTTGGTTCAGAATGAAAAAAGTGGTAATATACAAGAAAATGATGAGAAGTCTAATGAGGAGACTAAGTCAGTTGATGGATCGAATATAGAGACGCAAAATGATGAGAGTAAAACAGATGATGGAGCTTCTAAGACTGAAGAAAATTCAGAATCTGGGGAGACGAAGACTGATGCTGGTGAAGGTAATTCTGAGGAGAATTCAAATGAGAACGAGAAGAAAACTGATACGGACAAGAATGAGATTAAGTCAGAGGAGAACTCTGACAATATGAAGGATGGAGAAAAAGTAGATGGCCAAATTCAGGAGAAGGTGGACCAAAATGATGAAAAGGAGCCAGAGAAAAGCTCTGATGATAAAAAGGAGGATGACCAATCGAAAAACCAGAGTTTGAATGAGGTCTTTCCTTCTGGGGCTCAGTTGGAGCTCTCAAAAGATACTGCCACACAAAATGGGTCCTGGTCAACTCAAGCAACAGAGTCAAAGAATGAAAAGGAAGCTCAATTATCTTCTGCGAATCAAAGTGGATATAATTGGAAACTTTGCAATACCACTGCAGGGTTTGATTATATCCCATGCCTTGACAACATCCAAGCGATTAAGAGTCTTCGATCTACTAAGCATTATGAACACCGAGAGAGGCACTGCCCTGAAGAACCCCCCACCTGCCTTGTTCCTCTTCCTGAAGGATATAGACGTTCTATTAAGTGGCCTACTAGCAGGGAAAAGGTATATGATAAAATAAATCATGACATTTCCCTCTCTCTCTTTTTTTNTGTTTTTTTTTTTTTTTTGTTTTAATGGTTTAGAGTTCAGTAGATGTTAGTTACTGATTTAAGCTCAAGTGGGTTAGTGATTTAGTATAGATCTGAGTGAATTTTGTTCATTTGGTGAAGTGGGTAATTTGGTATCATATTGATCTAAGAGATAATGTGAGCTGAAGTGGATTAGTGATTTATTGTAGATTGGAGTGATCTAATGTTGTTTAATTTGATTTATAATTGATTTTTGGTTTTGTTTTGATCTTTAGGTGTGGATCTTTGATTTGAATTAAGAGAATCATGGCTTTAGGGAAATATAGTAGGATAGATAATAGGAGATCTTCGTCGAGTTACTGGCCAACTGTGACGGTTGTTGTGTTTGTGGCTCTTTGCTTGGTTGGAGTATGGATGATGACGTCTTCGTCTATGGCACCGGTTCAGAATGTGGATGAGCCATCACAGGAGAAGAAAAGTGAGGCGAGGGAACAGGTGGTGGAGAGCAATGAGAGTAGTACTCAGCAGTTTGAAGATAACACGGGTGATTTGCCTGAGGATGCTACGAAAGGGGATAGTTCGGTTCAGAATGAAAATAATGGTAATATACAAGAAAATGATGAGAAGTCTAATGAGGAGACTAAGTCAGTTGATGGATCGAATATAGAGACGCAAAATGATGAGATTAAAACAGATGATGGAGCTTCTAAGACTGAAGAAAATTCAGAATCTGGGGAGACGAAGACTGATGCTGGTGAAGTTAATTCTGAGGAGAATTCAAACGAGAACGAGAAGAAAACTGATACGGACAAGAATGAGATTAAGTCAGAGGAGAACTCTGACAATATGAAGGATGGAGAAAAAGTAGATGGCCAAATTCAGGAGAAGGTGGACCAAAATGATGAAAAGGAGCCAGAGAAAAGCTCTGATGATAAAAAGGAGGATGACCAATCGAAAAACCAGAGTTTGAATGAGGTCTTTCCTTCTGGGGCTCAGTTGGAGCTCTCAAAAGATACTGCCACACAAAATGGGTCCTGGTCAACTCAAGCAACAGAGTCAAAGAATGAAAAGGAAGCTCAATTATCTTCTGCGAATCAAAGTGGATATAATTGGAATCTTTGCAATACCACTGCAGGGTTTGATTATATCCCATGCCTTGACAACATCCAAGCAATTAAGAGTCTTCGATCTACTAAGCATTATGAACACCGAGAGAGGCACTGCCCTGAAGAACCCCCCACCTGCCTTGTTCCTCTTCCTGAAGGATATAGACGTTCTATTAAGTGGCCTACTAGCAGGGAAAAGGTATATGATAAAATAAATCATGACATTTCCCTCTCTCTCTTTTTTTTTTTTTGGCCCTTTCTTGTTAAGATGATTGTTAAGTTGCATTTTGCAGATCTGGTACTATAATGTTCCCCATACCAAACTTGCAGTAGTTAAGGGGCACCAAAATTGGGTGAAAGTTGAAGGAGAGTACCTCACTTTCCCAGGTGGTGGAACCCAGTTTAAGCATGGTGCTCTCCATTATATCGACTTCATAAATGAGGTGAGCAATTCAATTGATGATTTCTGTTGGTTACTTTGTATGCTGGTTTAGCTCCTTTTTATGCAAATCTATATGGTTATGCATGGTGGATTCTTGATATGTCTTTTGGTTTTCTCTCCGTTCCATTCTTTCTATCTTTTTCTGGAGAGGTACATTTGTTTATATTTATGTTGAGGTCCATACATATACTTCTACGTGATATCTTTTGGTGAATGCATGTGCATCCAAACTGGAAGCTAGATGTAGGGAAATGTTTTCCATCTTAGTAAGAATTATGTATTAGTAATTCAAGTATTTTATCTGAAAGTTGTAAGCAAAGTTAATTTTTAGTGTTGGTATTACCTGCTAAAAAGAATATTAATCTTATATCAAACTTTAGCAAATTACTTCCAGGAGAATTGCTTTGTGGATGATGATCCTTCAATTCAGTTGCTTGAATAAAATCCAGCGCATGATTATTTCATATTGATTTGCAGTTGTTATTTATACTTTTATTATCATCTACAAGCTTATTTTAACTAGGTTAGCACAACTGTGGACTTATGGGTGGGCCTGTCCATCATTTCTTTACTTTAATAATTATCGACTCTGCTGTCTTATAAGTTTGATCTGATACCAATATATGCACTCTATGCAGACTGTGCCTGACATTGCCTGGGGAAAACGTTCTCGTGTGGTGTTAGATGTTGGATGTGGGGTGGCCAGCTTTGGAGGCTTCCTTTTTGACAGAGACGTTCTGACCATGTCATTTGCTCCTAAAGATGAACATGAAGCCCAAGTTCAGTTTGCACTTGAAAGGGGAATCCCTGGTATATCAGCTGTGATGGGAACAAAGAGACTTCCCTACCCGGGCAAAGTTTTTGATATAGTCCACTGTGCACGTTGCAGAGTCCCATGGCATATAGAAGGTATGGAATATTAATCAGATGAAATAGAGCTGATTTAAATTTTGTGATTTATCTCTGAAGGCACTCCATTTTTGGAATTTAAACATTAATGTTTCACTGTTTGATGTTTTATGTCTCTAAACAGCCACTCCACTAACAAACTGTAGTGATTTCTATGTTATAAGTTCATGTTAAGGTTCTAGCATTCGTTTTCTTCTGATCGTTGCATTATGCAGGTGGGAAACTTCTTTTGGAGCTCAATCGTTTGTTGAGACCTGGTGGTTTCTTTGTGTGGTCTGCTACTCCTATATATCAAAAGATTGGTGAAGATGTTGCTATTTGGAACGGTAGATGATTCTTACCTTAACATATTCAAATCTATCTCGAAAGGTTCATTGATTCTAACAACTCATAAAATTTTGTGGGAACTTTTTGCAGCTATGTCTGAGCTAACAAAAGCTATATGCTGGGAACTTGTGTCCGTCAGTAAGGATACAGTTAATGGAGTGGGTATAGCAATATATAAGAAGCCTACAACTAATGAGTGCTACGAGAAAAGATCAAAACAAGAGCCTCCAATGTGCCCAGAAACGGATGATCCAAATGCAGCATGGTAATCATCCTCTTAGCTGAGAAAAAGAAATTATATTACTTACTGAATAAAATCAATGGATTGGCAGACAAGAAGTTTGCATTGTCGCCTAATTGGAAAAATGTTGCTAGTTTTTCCAGAATGAAATTGTTTGTTATGACATTGATTGCTCTTAGCTGTCCTACAGACTGATTTGATTTATTGTTCACAGGAATGTTCCACTGCAAGCTTGCATGCATAAGGTACCAATAGAATCATTAGAACGTGGGTCACAGTGGCCAGAGCAGTGGCCTGCAAGGTTGGAGAAACCACCATACTGGTTGCTGAGTTCCCAAGTTGGGGTCTATGGAAAATCTGCGCCAGAAGATTTCACTGCAGATTATGAACACTGGAAACGGGTAGTGTCCAAGTCTTATCTAAATGGCCTTGGAATAGATTGGTCATCTGTGAGGAATGTCATGGACATGCGATCTGTCTATGGAGGGTAAGCAAAATCAGCCTTTCTTTCTAGGAAAATATGAAATTCTCTGAAAATTAAATCTTCGATCTTTCTTATTTATTTATTTTTTGTTTCTTTCTGAAAAAAAAATGATTAATACATGTTTAACTCGACCTTTAATAATTTGTGTATGATTATTGTTGTTATGGGGTAGTGGCCTGGTCAAGTAATGAGTTTATTTCAACTAATAATGATCTATTTTTCTGGGTCAAAAGTGGCAGTAACATCTGCCATAAACTCCTTTCAGTAGGGTTTGGGTGTTGTTAGCAATTTCTCATAAAAAACTATAGTGTCTTGTTTCATCCTTCGTCATGTTTTGATATTGTGGTTGTGCTTTCAGATTTGCTGCCGCTCTGAAAGATATCAATGTGTGGGTCCTAAATGTTGTCTCAGTAGACTCCGCAGATACACTCCCCATTATATATGAACGAGGTCTGTTCGGTATATATCATGATTGGTGTGAATCATTTAACACCTATCCTAGAACATATGATCTTCTTCATGCTGACCATCTTTTCTCCAAGGTTAAGAAGAGGTTAGTACTAATATTTACAGATATATAATGTTTCATTCCTTACGGGTGATACTGCTGGAACTTACCAGTGCATCATTTTCTGTATGCCATCTTCTGATGCTGGAATGTTAAATGGATCTTACAGGTGTAATTTAGTGGCTGTAGTTGCTGAGGTTGATCGTATCCTCAGGCCAGAAGGAAAGCTCATCGTTCGTGATAACGTTGAGACTATTAATGAATTGGAGAGTTTGGTTAAATCCATGCAATGGGAGGTTCGCATGACCTACTCGAAAGACAAGGAGGGGTTGCTTTGTGTCCAAAAGTCCATGTGGCGACCTGACCAGTTGGAAGATATTAAATATGCTCTTGCTTAAGCACGCTCTGCTCTCACAGCTCTTCAATTCTTGAGCCAAAATGCTGACGAGATTAGGTATTCTTTTGTTTCGGTTGTTAATTGCAATTCATTGCTTCTCTTCCACGTTGGCGCCACGTATCATGTTAAGTAGGTTCTTAGTGTCATATCATGTATTTTAAAATTTTTTGTTTTCATATCCAGTGTATCATGTTAATTAAATTCCTTGGTTTCCAACTTTAAAAAAAAATTTGGTTATCGTTGTCACGAGATTGGCGCTGGAGTGCCAAGTGTGATATCATGGTCATACTACATTATTTATTGATTGAAAACGAATGAATTCTTGGAAATGTAGAGGACATTTGTTTGAAATTCTGTTGAATTTTTAAATGACAAACATTCAATTACATTAATTTATTGCAGTGAAATGTTTGCCTTGCTGTATTGAGGTTGGTTACTCTTGTGTAAAACATGTTTATATGTAACCTACCATGATTCTGTTGGAGTTTGAAGACTTGCTAAGTGATGAGGCATGGTTCTTTGCTGGGTTTATTTCATTCTCCCCTTGCGAAGTCATTTAGCAATAAGCTTCATTAAGAAAGTATAATAAACCCCTCTGAATATTATGAAAATGCCCTTTAAAAATATCTAACACCTCTTATAAAATTATTAACTCTCTAATAAGGAGTATTTAATACTTTCTAAAAGAAGCGGATGAAATAAATCCTGTTTGCTTAAAAGATGTCTTATGTATATTATGGATCATATGATATACACAAGAAATGAGAAAAGGTGACATACATATTTTGTTATAACAAATGAGTTTGATCATGTCGATGTTTCATGTTATAATTGCTGGATTTCACATTACAAGTTTTATGTTTGATGTCACAAATACGACGTTTTAGATTATGCAAGAACTGTAATTACTATATTTTTACAATAATGTTACATGTTGTATCTTAGAAAGATATTATTTTTTTCCGGTAAGGTTACATAGCAATGCTTTTATACTATAGTGTGAATTCTCTAAAAGGGAGAGTAGTTTAGTAGCAAGGCACATAAAGTGGCAAAATTATATGAAGGGAAGTTAGTTAAGTAAATACAAGGAGCGAGTCCCGGGGACTCAGTTTATGCAAATGAGCCAAGTCTTTTATAGCTTTCCATTTCACTTGCCTATTTTTATGGCTTTCTTTTCATTTATTAATTTCACCTTCATAATTTAACTTTCCAAACTCAAATTAATCTCTCAAACACCAATAGAGAAACTAGAGAATTAATGGAAGAAGATAGCCATGGAAATGGGTCTCATGGGCCTGGTGGTGGAAGCCCAGAAAGCCCTTGTGTAAAAAGCACTGGTAGCAACAACAATAATGGCAACAATCACCACCACCACCACCACCACATCAACAAAGAACAAGATAGGTTTCTTCCTATAGCAAATGTTGGTCGGATAATGAAAAAAGTGATTCCTGGCAATGGAAAAATATCGAAAGACGCAAAAGAAACCGTGCAAGAATGTGTCTCTGAGTTCATTAGCTTTGTAACTGGAGAAGCATCGGATAAGTGTCAACGAGAAAAACGAAAAACCATTAATGGTGACGACATCATATGGGCAATCACAACCCTAGGGTTTGAGAATTACGTCGGTCCATTAAAACTATATCTAAGCAAATACCGAGAGATCGAAGGTGACAAAATTAATACTCCGAAGCAACAAAGACCAGATCAAAGATCGGTGCATCAGAATCAGCAACATCACCAACAACTTGAACAAGAAGATCAAAATGTACCTTATACAAGTGTTTATTCTTCCACAACCCTAATGTGTCAACCACCATTTGTGGCAAGTGATCAATCTTTTTCCTTACCATTCTCCCCAACTTCCATTCAGAAACAGTTGCAGCCACAAGACCAAATTGATTCAGTGGGGCACTGGTGAGAAACAAAGGGAAAGAAAGATGATTAAAATCTTATTGGTTGCCTTTAATTAGTGTTTATAGGAAACGGGTTCTCTCCCAACCCATATAGGAGAAGGTGTTCTTCATCATTAAGAGGAGTCAAGGGAGAGAAATACAGTTTTCATCATCACTGGCGACTTCAAGTTACTTGGTCAGATTCAAATCTTTACTATGGAGTAAAGCATGTTTTCCATTTGATAGCGTGAAAATCATAAGTTATAAGGATTACGTGAATTATTTTACAGTAGTACCTCGACGTGAAATGAGTAACGGAAAGAATCAGTTTTCATTTAATTTATATATCCGCGTTAAAATAATTTATCTTGGTTCTTAGTCTTAAGTTGCCTGTCTATTTTATCTTTAATCTATTATTCTAAAGTTTGATTTCAATCCTGAAAAAGAAAAAGAAGAAGAAAAACAAAACTTTGGTCTTATGATCTCTCTACTGAAACCAAAAATGTATTCTGAAAAGAAAATCACTACAATAGCCTAGAATAACCCACTTCATCTATATTGATTTTGAAAGGAGGGATGGTTCAAGTAAAAATCTTGACCGTACAAAGGAGAATCAACAATCCCCACATCCTCTCAAAATGATTTTTTTTTTGTTTCCCTTGATTCCAAGAGTTAAAGAATGATACTTTTGAGAAATTGATCCAATTAGAGACATTACCACCAATTTTAATGAAAGTCATATTTACTTTTGATAATAGCATGCCATAAAAAGAATTGCTCAACAGGGAACCTCCAAGCCATTTCCCCATTAAAGTTCTCTTCCTCTTAACCATATTCCTAGTCCCTTGGCCTCCTTTATTACAGAGTTTAAACTCTATTTTTGATTTTACCAAATAACTATCTTTACCTTCATTAAAACCTTCCCAAAAGAAATTCCTCGTTTCTTTTTCAATTCCATTTGTAATCATGGTAAGAATTTTGAAGAGTAGAAAGAACAGACTGAACGAGAGTAAGCCTGCCACCAATAAAAAGAGATTTTTTTTTTTTTTTTTTACCAAAAGTTGAAAGATTTAGGAGTTCCAGCAAGTGGAAGCCCTCAATGTTTTAAGGGCTACTCACCGATCCCATAGCCCAATTTAATAGCGAAAGCATGCAATTTCCTAATCTAGAAACAATGTTTTTAGCCATCAAAAGAAAATTGAGAAGGATCCTGTTCTGATTTGAGCTTTACGGATCTATCATATTTGTGCATTTTTGTTTGTCTCTGGTTCAAAATTATTTGTCTAGAATATTCCTATTATGTAACTACCAATGATCACAAGGCTTTAAAAGCTCAATCTGAGCTCTGATCAGGAGAGAACCTTATAAAAATAAAACCAAATATCTTCGTGATCATTGACAATAAATTATCTAATTTTAGTTTCTTTTCCTAGTAGAAAAAAAAAATTATTTATCTAGAATATTCCTATTATATGATGAGTATGATTTATTTAAATTAAACTAGGTTATTTTAGTAATTAAAATTTTATTATTATGTTATTTTAGTAATTAAAATTTTATTATTATGTTATTTTGTAGACAAAGTGGTTAAGTAATCATTAACAAAACAATCTCTGTGTGGTGTGTATGATTTATATTTGATACGTTATCGATTTTGATATTTATTATCGCTTCTTTGCGTGATATTCTAACATAAAAAAAACCGTTAAATAATTATATATTTAATTTAAGATTGTAGATCCTCAAACTATATACAGTATTCAATTATCTAAAATAATCCAATTCATAGGATTAATTGCTATTTCCTAATTTTAAACGTCATGGTGTATTAACTGTAGATGATGACTTGGCGAGAAAATTGACATGGAAACCAAGGTGGTATTAGTATATAGGCTATAGCCATAGAAACTGGAGGAGGCTTGCGGTATCTTCATGAGGAGTGTGGAGATGGACCTATTGTTCACCAATCTGTTTGTTCACGCCATATTGTTTTTTTTTTTCTCACGGTTGCTCTGCTATGGTAAGATTCAATCATTCGAATGACCAAAATAGCTTAATTTCTTTAGGGTTTTTAGTATATTAACTTAATTAATTGGAAAAATAATTTTCTTAGAATGTTTAAATTTAAAACTCAACGCATATAATTCATTCTTCACCGTTAACCTTAAGACACCTTTTTCATTCAGTTTCATATGTATATGAAGGATTTTATCACTTTAAATCTTTATGAATTGAAATTCCATTCTATTTGCACCAAAATTTGCTCCAAAACTGACTTTATTCTTCAATTATCGTTTAAGTTTTGCAATTTCTTAGCGGCAAAATGGATTAATCTTGAGGAATCACCAACTGAGTAAGAAATCTCTCCCTATTCTCCCTTGTTGTATATAGTAAGTAGTCTATGACTATTTATAGGTAGCACTTTTATATGTCTAGCCAAAAATAAAAAAAAAATATATAGAGGTAGACGTGAAAAAAAAAAAAAAGGTACTAACTTGATAACATTATTGAAGATGAAAAAATTAAAAAACTCCGGGGGGACAAAAAAATTAAAAATAAAAAAAGAAGTAAAAGAAACCCAGTTTCTGGTGCGTCTCTCTCACAGTCCCTTTGATGTTGCACTTCCGATGAAAGAATATGAACAAGTGATACACTTGCATCTTAGTAAATCTACAGAAATCTATAGACAGATCTCAACATTAATATTTTTTCTTTTTTGGGTAATCGTGGTGTCCAGACCAACTTACATGCACCTCAGTACTAATCACCAGGATCCATTAAACACCTCAACATTAATATTAAACATATGTCATTCCCGAAATATATAATATGATACTCGTAAATCATTTTAAAATTATGAGGTTTTATTCATTAAAAATATAATTTCAAAATTTTAGTAATCGGTCAAAGATGTATTTCAGATAAAAATATAAACAGATGATACTTGCATATATATATATATATATGGCAAAGCTAATTGAACATCTAGCTAGAGATATTTTGACAACATTAAACATATGTGACATCTCAAATATATCCTACTTAACTTATAATAAGATATTTTGTTATAATTGACGTCCAACTTTACAAATTACAAGTGTGACGTTCAATATTATAAAAATGCATTTTTCTTGTTATACTAATAGGATTTTTAATCTTCTAGTGTGTGCGTATATGTGAAAATTCTCAAATTTAAACATCTTGATTTTTCTTAAAATTCGGATTCCATTTCTGATAGTGAGAACATATTGAATACAAAAAATTCTGTCGATTGTATCACATCGAGAACATGGAAACTTTTTGTCTTTTAATATATTCATATTATAAGAAACGTATGTCTAAATTTTTACAAGAATCAAGAGAGAATAACTATATACATGACTTATGGCTTATAAAGTTGTTAATTTGATGAAATATGATTGTTGAAGAAACGAAAATTCGGAGAAAGATGAGAAGCTTTATGTGCATGTACGAGACTATGGAATGTTCCTGGTTGAGCTCATCACCGGACAGAATGCTGAGTGGTTTGCTGAAGAGAACGAGGGGCAATCTTTGGTTGATTGGGTAAGATGATATCATGTTTAGGCAATTCAGAAAAATCAGTTAAGTATATTCAGATTAATTAGGTGAATTTCCAGGTAATTTTGGATAGTGAGGACTGTTCAAAATTGGAAAATATAACTAGGGAGAGATTTAAACAAGTTTATTTTAACTATAATTGAATTATAAGGGGGTTAATCAGTATTGTTTTTCAAATGTTTTTAGAAAACGAATTCAGAATTTGGAAAAAAGAAATTACGTTTGTACATTCTGTTTACATAACATAAGATCGAATTAAAATTAATTGGAAAAAAATGAACAAAAAGAAATCAAGTAACTCCTTATTTATTTAAGAAATAACTGAAAATAATGAAAACAATTCAAAATTACCTTCTCATTTCCTTTACAGAATTCATTAAAATTTTCTTATATTTTTTGTATATATCTTTTCTAATAAAGGTTATAATCCAATGTGTTTTCAGTATTTTTTTTTACTAATTATGTAATAGTATAATGCAAACTTTGATGCAAATTGGTGTGACACAAAATGAGTGGAAGGTGACATAATATAAAAAAATTCAACTCAATAATTTACAAGTATGCGATTTCAATAATAGAATTGTTTTTTAGTATAGTTATAGTTATTACACAAAGAACAAGTATGGGTAAGAGCTTTGTTTTGAAATCTGAACAGGACTAGCCAGTTCGACCAAGAATTGGCCCCAACTCCATTCTGGTTCAATATAAAACCCGGTTATTGTCTTAGAATCGCTTTGGCCTTGTAATGGATCGACAAAATACTACCAAACCGCTAGTCTGACCTTCTTAGGGTATAAATTGGGTCACTTATTATTTGAAAGAATAAAGATTAGCTGACAAACGAATCTCACAAACCCAGCGTGACAGCTCCCACCATACCCAAGGCACTAAATGACTTTGACTAAACATGAACGGTTGTTTCTTATGGACAAACCATCATTCCTTTATTAATGAATGACCGTTATTAGGGATGAAGGAACAATCGTTCATTCATAAGGAATGACTATTCCTTATGAATCGAACAACTATTTCTTATGGAACAACCATTCTTTAGAATGGAATAACCAATCCTTCTTATGGAACAACCATTCTTTCTTATGGAACAACCATTTTTTTATGAAGGAACAATCGTTCCTTATGAATGGAACAACCATTCCTTATGAATGAACGGTCGTTCGTCCCTAAGGAACGATCATTCATGTTTAGTCAAGGTTTTCAGTTGACGTGGTAATGCCAACTCAGGTGCCACGTCGGGTTTGTGAGATTCGTTTGACAAAGTAGTATTACCTTATTTGAAAATCTAATCCCTACAAAAAAACCATTCCCAATATAGCATCTTCATTCTTCAATCAGGATTCTTTCTTCTTTGAGTTTGCTCCCTACATCCTTCAAATTCCATCTCCAATCTTCTTTTTCACTCTAAAGTCTAAAGAAGATCGAAATTGAATCTGGTTCAACGGCAAAACTGTTGTTCATCTTCAATAGTTCAACGTTGAAGGTTTGCTCCTTTTCTAATTTCTTTAACAGTTCGAGTTCAATCACTAGGTATTTTTGTTTTGCTTCTGTTGCTTGAGTTTATTATTACCTATTATATTGTTGAAAAAAATGCTTATGGGAAATATATCTACAGAATGATATTTATGCATAAGGAAATTTATGGGTG